GCTAGAAACCTCGCTCGTAAAATACATCTGCTCTTAACGGGATATCGATGAAAGCGATCGGTGTGTGTTTTCGGAGAACGGCGGCCGACCACCTCGTATAAACTAGCCTCCTCCCCTCCCCTCTCCCCCTCCCCTTGCCCCTTCCCCTCCCCTGGAATGTGTAATAAAGTGGATCAATTAAGGCGGGCAACGATGGAAATTTAGATGTTAATTACCCCACAGTCTGGAATATGGATGGTGTTTGGTGAATATAGCAATGGATTAATTTCGCCAAAACGTTTATCCCTCCCCCCTCCCTCTCTCCTCCCCCCTCTCCTGTGTTCGAGCGAAAAAAGGAAGAGTCGTTGGTTCGAAGCTAATTAAATGAAAAAACTATTCCTCCTCGGCTCCCTTTCTTGCGAGGAAATTCGATGAAAACTCCTCTTTCCCTTAATTCTACCTAATAGATAGACGTAAAATCGAACGATTCTGTTCTACGTGCATATATATATATATAAAATCTCTAGAAATTTTCGTAAATCGCATCGAAATCCGAACGAAATCCACTTCCTGGTAATTTCTCGGGAATCGTTATTCGCTCGCCTCGTGTTTCGCACGATTTTGCCCGGCAATACCCTGTAATGAATTAAACCGATCGCAAAGTTTGATCCGTCATTCACGGTCAACGAAACACGTGGGATTAACGAACGTTTCTGGAACGCGTTGATGATTGCACGCAACTCCGATAGTCATAAAAATTAAAGACCAGACGTCCCATCGAGATCCTCGAATAATTCATAACCTATCGAACAAAGCTATTTCTACAAATGAAATATTCACGGAACCATCGTGCAGGATCCCGAACGAAATCCTACTACGAACGGTTACTCAACGTCCCTCCTCGACGTCACGAATCTATACCGTAACACCGTATGCGAATCGTCGGTAAATTTGCAAATTCGATCGTTGTTTTCGTTCGTTTTCGCTCGGTTCCGATCCGCGTCCCAGAGACGGGAGACGAGACGTGAAAAAAAAAAAAAAAAGAAAAAGAAAAAGGCGG